TCATGACTGTGAATGGGACTTTGTGAGAAGCCAGGCAGATGTGGAGTTTGAGGGGAAGCAGAGAAACAGACTGTAAAAGAGGAGACTAAGAGTTGGGGGAGGGGAGGGGAAGAGAGAGGTGGAATCCACTGATGCAGCAGGCAGTGCAGAGCCAGGTGGGCTTGCAGGTGGGCTTGCAGGCACGGTGTGATCAGGTTTCTCTGAGCTCTTCCCTCCCTCTTGCGTGGGTGTTGTTCTCATGCTGGTTTCCCTTGTGGTGCTGGCCTGGCTGCCAGCACGTTTCCGTGTGGACATCCGTGGAGATGACAAAGCTCCTCTGTCCTCCTCTGGACTAAGGGCGTCCTTTCCGTCTGTGTAGGTCACTGTCAGTCATGTACTAGACCAGCTGCCACGTCCAAGAGCACAGCCACTGGCCAGGAGGATGGGACAGCTATGGCGGGGGAGGCTCATGAGGAAGGGTGGCCAATGGCCATCTGCTAGGAGGGAGCCAGCAGGAGCGGGAGGGGGCTGGAAGGTCATGTGGAGCTGCTGGGATTGTGACACAGCAAGTAAAGCTTACCTAGAGGGCCTGGCATGATAGCCTAGTGGCTAAATCCTCACGTTGCATGCCTGGGATCCATTATGAGCGCTGATTCGTATCCCAATTCTTCCACTTCCCATCCAGCTCCCTGCTGGTGGCCTGGGAAAGCAGCAGAGGACGGCCCAAAGCCTTGGGACCCTGCACCCATATGGGAGACCCAGAAGGAGCTCCTGACTCCTGGTTTCGGTTCGGTTCAGCTCTGGCCATTGCAGCCACTTGGAAAGTAAATCAGCAGATAAAAGATCTTTCTCCCTGTATCTGCCTTTCCGATGAAAAATAAAACATTTTTCTGGAAAAAAAAAAAAACAAAACCCAAAAAACAAAAAACCCTTCTACCTATAGTACCGGCATCCCATAGGGGTGCTGGTTCATGTCCTGGCTGCTCCAGGTGCTGTTTTTGATCCAGCTGCCGCTAAGGCACCTGGGAAAGCAGTGGAGGATGGCGCAAATGCTGGTTCTCTGTGACCCACATGGGAGACAGCAGGGAAATTCCGATTCCTGCTTCAGCCAGGTGCAGCTAAGATGGTGGGGTCCGTTGGGGAGTGAACCAGGACGTGGAAGATCTCTCTCTTTCCCTCTCTCTTAGAATACTGATATTCAAATAGATAAGTAAATCTTGAAAAGGAAAAGCAGATCACTGAGTTGGTTTGAGTGTGGCTCCTGACCCCTGGGCAGGCAGCTGCGGGTCTGTACTCCAAGGCCAGCACCCAGGTGCCGCCGTCTGTCCTCCACCTGTGCATGCCGCTGTCCCCAGCATTTCTCTCTGCTGGCTCCCTGCTCTGGCAAGCCGTCAGCTTGCTCTGCTGCACGTCGCGCTGCTGAAGATCACATCAGCAGAATTGATTCTGGCATGTTCTGATTTAGCAAGCCTTGTACTTCCCTGCAGGGGGGCAGCTGAGAGCTGTGCCAGGAGGAGAACAGAGTCGGTTCTTCTGAGGCAGGTCTATTTTTAAACAGTCCTGAACCTTATTGAACCTCTTCATTTTTCAGCCACTGACACTTGAAATATGGAAGTCACAGGCATGAGAACCAAGGACTGCAGCAGCCCCTTAAACATCAGATGTGTATGCACTGGCTTCCGAGAGCGCAGGTTAGGTTAGGGCTGGGGTAAATCCCTGGACCCTAGGTTCAAATCCCGGCTGCTCACTTAAGGCCTGCTCCCTCCTCTGTGACCCTGTGGGCTGGTGATATTGATCTGGGTTACCATGGCCTGCCATGAGGATGTCTGCCATCGTAATTGGTCCCACTGCCACCTGCCTCAGCACCCACAGCCTCCAGGGAATCCATTGCCAGACTGGCGACTTCTTTTAGAGTTGGCTGCCACTCATTTCAGGGCCAGGGTGCTTCCTCGTTTACCATATTACTTTTTCTGGAAGCCAGAAGAAGAGAAGTTCTAACGTTGCCCAAGGCATCAGGGAGACCATGGTGCGGCCAAACTCCTGTTCTCTCCTGGGGCGGGGGAGGGGTGCAGTCAAAATGATTCTAGAAAAATCGCACCACAGATGTTTGCCGCTATTTCTTGACTTCAACCCCAGAAGAAGTAGTTAACGTGTGTTTCAGGCAGGATGCTTGTGAGAATAAAAATAGACAGAGGGGTTGCTGGTCACTCCTTAGATGCCCACGAGCTGGAACTCAGCCAGGGGCTCCCACGTGGTGTAAGGGACCCAGCCACAGGATGCTTCCCGGGCTCTGGCTCAGCAAAACGCTGGAGCCCCAGCTCCAGGCTCCTCACAGAGCCACAGGCCTTTTCATGGCCACGCCCAATGCCCAGATGGAAAGAGGCTGGCTTTTAAAATTCCTTTAGAGCAGTTAAGCGGTCCTTCCTAGTCCCAGCGAGTTTTGGGTTGGGATTCGAGGGAAAACCACGGGCAGATCCCCTCCCCCCCGCCCCCCATGGGTGAATGATGTTTACGCATAAACAGCTTCTGTCCCTATTGCGCAGAGTGGGGAGCCCCTGGTCTCCTGGTGGCCACGTGCAGAGTCTGGGCCTAGCAGGGTTGTGGTGGACGAGCAGAAATGCGTGAGCGGGTGTAGCGGGGCAGAGGGAAGTGAAGATGCGGGCAACAAGACAGCAGTGTGGACCAAGGGAACGAGAACGCTGGTTGAGAAGTGACCTGCCGCGAAGTCACTGGGGAGCATGTCCCACCCCCTTGCTTCTTGGCTAATCCCCTGCACCTTTCCAATCCTTCCAGGGCAGAACGCCCCACTTGCGCCAGTCACAAAGGGCCCGTTCTAAGGGGTCCCAGAACGCTGCGGCGTGGAGCGTGGGCCTGACACAGCGCGAGCCCGCAGCCAGAGCCCTGCGGGCACGCTTGGTGGTGCGTTGCAATCGCTTGTGGGCGGCCCCTGGTGAGTGTCAACCCCTTGGGGCCGTGCCTGCTGTTCCACAGTGACCCCTGCTGGGCAAAGACGAGGTGGCTGTCATCGCCTCGTTGGGGTTTAGCTGCCCCCATCCTGAGAAATATCTCAGCTTTAATCAACTACAGCTACACGGGGTGGAATGACTCCAGTAGCTCCAGTTTCCCCCGGTTCCCAATTAGGATTTTCTAAAGTTCTTTTGTGCACTTGCATCGCAGCGCCCTTGTTTGGCTGGTGGCCCAAGTACCTACTACCCATTTGGGGTTCCTGCAGAACCCCAAGGGGGTTTATCCTTCAAAAATCAGAGGCAGAATTGTTGCTAGCCTCCCTTGCCCCAGCTGAGTAAATCTGAGACTGTAAATATGATCTGTGTTTAAGAGAAACTTCATTCATGGAAGCTGCATTTTCTAAGTTTGCTTTGTGTGCAGGATGATGGACATGACAGTGGATGGACAGAGGCCCCAGGAGTGGGAGGCATTTCCTCCATGGCCTCTGACTCTAGGACCGGGACTTCTTGGCATATTTTCCTGTAGGATCTCCCCTCCAGATGTGGGAAGGGTTGAGATTCCTCCCAGGAATTGCAAACTCAAATTCTTGCTGGCTCCAAGCAGTTCCAGGAGGAGAGATAGAAGGCAGGGAGGAGTGAAGCCTGTGGCCAGGAAAGTAAGTGCACAATCTTTATATACAGAAAGAAGTCGTCAAACTGACCCCACCCACAGGCCATGGGTGGAGACACCTGCATTTGGGTCTGGACCTCCACACCAGTCACTTCCCACGGGTGCCGCCTCCACCAGCCCACACCTCTCTCTGTGGACAAGCATTCTGTTCTCTGCCTTCTTGGTCCTCTCCATCCATAGTGCTTTGATCCATAGTGGTTTTGATGTTAATTCCCGCCCAAGTGTCTTCTGGGTTGGCCAGGTCCAGCGGCTCGGATGGTGTTTTTTGGTTTTGTTTGATCTCTTCCATGATAGCTTTTTTTTTAAATAGGCTTCCTGTGGAGGCAAGATGGTCGTCAGCTATCCTGGACCTGGGCTGCTGAGGTTCCAGTGTGGTGTAGGTCACCCTATCTCTTCTGGAGTATTCTGGCTTCAAGGCCACTATTGGTTCTGCCTGCCCTAGCCAGTGTCCATCTCTGAACTAATTCCAGCTGGGCATTATGCAGACTGGCCAGGAGTCTGGCACTCTGATTGGCCCACCAAGCTGTGCAGGCTTCAATCCCGAAGCTGGTGGGATGCAGTCAGCCCCAGGCTTCCCGCAGGGCGGTCTGATGGTGACCCCTCTGACTCTCTAAATGCCTGAGCAAACTGAGACCCTGAGGGTGATTGCTACTTGCCCCAGGTGATGCAGCAGCTGTGGAGGAACTGGAGCTGAGATGAGATGCTTGGCACAAACCGTGCTCTGGGTCCCTACGTTGCAGGCCTCCTGGAGGGAGATGGTAGAGGTTCTGCTTTAGGCACCTGGCCTGGGATGGCCAGGAGGCAGCAGTGCTTTGAGCGTCACAGCCCTGTCAGGCTTGTGGCATTCACGCGGTCCCCTGAGTCAGCACAGGAGCCAGTTAGGATGTGATCCAAATGCCAGGTTCTGCTCCCCGCCCCTCACCCCTGCCCTCTCACCCCTGCCCTCTCACCCCTGCCCTGCCTGAGCTGCAGCTGACAATGGGTGCATTTTGCTTTGGCTCCCGCCACCCCCTCCCGTGCCATTTTGTCCCCTCTTCTTTGGGAATGCTGGGAGCAGAAGGAACTGACACCAGAACCATCTGCCTAGCTCCTAATAATAAATGGCAAGAAACAGGTTCCAGGCAAGCATTGCCTGGGGGCGGGGGTGACTGCGTTCACACCCGGGCAGCCATCTGCTGTGTCATCCTCATGTGCCAAGCTGTGGGCGGAGGAACTGGGGAAATGGGGTGGCACTGTGTCCTGTACTGCCAACAGCACGGATCACCAGTTTTCTTCTTTTTGTTTCCGCTGAAGGACGTTGCAGAGAGAGAGAGGGGAGGTGCGCTCGCTGGTGTGGACCCCTTGTGCCTGGTATCTGAGCAGAGGGGATACCTGACTCCTCCAAGATGCCTGTGGTAGGTAACGGGGTCTTCACTTACCACAGTCAGGTGCTCCCCTGTCCCCTTTATGCTCATACCTTGAGTCCTCACAGCACAGCCACATGTGCCCATTTTGTAGCTGGCAGGTTGGAGGCCCTGACATTTTGACTGACTCACCCAAGGTCACACGAAGAGGCAAAGAGGGGCCTTGAGCCCAGGACTCCAAACAACACCCTGTGTCCGCACAGCAAGGAGCTCGTTTGGTGTGCAATAATGAGGCAGCCAGGCCTGCTCCTTGGCAACCCAGGGCAGCTTTTCCGTGTAACAGAGGAGCGGCTGACATCGGCCTGCCCCTGGGTGCGCCCCAGCTGTGAGCATGTTACCTGAGGCATTTGTAAACACCCTGTCCCATCCAGGTGAAGAAGTACAAGAAGAAGGGCTCCCAGGCCCTCCAGGACGCCACGGAGAAGGTCAGGGAACAGCTAGCCCAGGCTGAGCTCCGCACACTGAGACAGCAGTTCCGGAAGATGGTGGAAAGCCGCAAGTCTTTCAACTTCCGTAACCAGAATATGATCGCCAGCCAGTAGTGAGTGCCGCCCCAGGGGCCCCAGGCTGGAGACCTGCAGTTTCGAGTCTCCACTGGGATGCTGTGTCCTTGGGTTCAGAGTCGCTCAGAGACCCCTGGGAACCTGAGTCCCCAGATCTCAGGTCGGGAAGGGGTCTGCTGATGAGGAAGGCTTGTGTCCTAAGGGTTAACTGTCCATTGGCCACGCCCATGTCTCACATCCCACTCCCTGGGTTCAAGTTCTGGCTCTGCTCTGGTCCAGCTTCCTGCTAATGCACACCCTGGGAGGCAGCAGGTGATGGGAGACCCAAGTAGAGCTTGGGCAGTAAACCACTGGGTGAGAGCTCTCTCTTATCAGTTAAAATGAAACAAAACAAATCAAAAACAAACAAAAATTCTTCTTACCATTTCTCACCACAACATAAGTTTGTTTTCTTTCTCTGAATTTCAGCCCTGGCCAGCACCCAGGGACCACACACAGGTCTTGAGTCAATCACCATGTCAATTTCCCAGCAGAGAGAGACTCTGATTGGCTCATTGTGGGCAGGTGTCTACTCCTGGTCCAGTGGGTTGAGCCTGGGCAGGACCAAAGGACACAGAGTGGGCTTGGCTAGTTCCCAGAGTGGGTGGGCACCCCTGGGCTGCAGATAACCCTGTCTTACAGGGAGATTGAATACTTGTGGTCCAGCTGCCCCTGCAATGCTGTTGTGTGTCCTTTCCTTGGGCAGCAGAAAGGTATCCCCTGGGGCTAAGTAAGCACAGGAAGAGATATTGTTAGATGCCAGTCCAGGGAATGGAGTCCTTTGTAAAGTGTTCACCAGGGCAGAACCATCCTCTGCCAGAACTCTGGCATAATGGTTGGAGTGTACTGCAGGGGTACTGGGCTTGGGGAGGTTGAGATTTGACATAGAATCTCCCTGCTTTTTTTTTTTTTCCAAGGTTTATTTTTATTGCAAAGTCAGATATACTGAGAGGAGGAGAGACAGAAAGATCTTCCGTCCGATGATTCACTCCCCAAGTGACCACAACGGCCGGTGCTGCGCCAATCCGAAGCCAGGATACTCCAGGTCTCCCATGAAGGTGCAGGGTCCCAAGGCTTTGGGCCATCCTCGACTGCTTTCCCAGGCCACAAGCGGTCACTTGGGGAGTGAATCATTGGACAGAGGATCTTCCTTTCTGTTTCTCCTCCTCTCCGTATATCTGACTTTGCAATTAAAAAAAAAAAAATAACAAAACAAAACCCACAAAAAATCTTAAAAAAAAAAAAAAAAGATACCTCTTCTCAAGGTACTTTACTGCCATCTGGTGGAAAACAGGTCATTCTGCAGGGCTTTTGTTGGAGTAAGAAAGAGTCGCGGGGGATACACCTGCGTGGTGTTTTGTCCGGGCTGCGGTTCTCTGTGGCTGTGCTGCAGATCAGGGCTCCTGGACCACATTGCTGTAGAACCCAGGGCCTGGGGCTGTGCCTCAGGGGCTAGATTTGGCCGTGTTTATCAATAAAGTTTTATGGACACTGACCACACTGGTTTCATGTTGCGATCACAGGATTGAGTAGTTGCAAAAACCTTCATGGCTCTGGAAGCATAAAAGATCTACTTTTGGGTCTTTTTTAAGAGAAGGATTTGCCAGTCCTTACCAGGGAATATTCTTTCATGTTCTAGAGTGGTTCTAGAATGCCCCAGGCTTCCAGAACCTTTACTTTTTTTTTTTTTAATCAAAAAGGTAGATTTACAGAGAGAAACAGAGACAGAGAGGAAGATCTTCCAACTGCTAGTTCACTCTCTAAATGGCTTCAGCAGCTGGAGCTGAGCTGATATGAAGCCTGGAGTCAGGAGTTGCTTCCAGGTCTCCCACACGGGTGCAGGGTCCCAAGGCTTTGGACCATCCTCGACTGCTTTCCCAGGCCACAGGCAGGGAGCTGGATGGGAAGTGGAGCAGCCAACTTTGAACCAGTGCCCATATGGGATCCCGGCGCATGCAAGGCAAGGATTTTAGCCATGAGGCCATATGCCGTGCCCCAAGTCATAGGTTTTTGATAGACACAGCTGCAAATTACTCTCTAGGAGAAAAATGCTCCTTGGAGAAGGCAGAGCTGTGGGGGAGTGCTGTGCCCCAGGAATGCCAGGTTCCACGGCCTTGGGCTAACCCCATTCCCTTGCGTGGGCCAGGAAGTTCTTCTGAGGTGTGTGTATGTGAGTTTGTGAATGAGTTGTGTGTGACACTAAGAATGTGTATGAAGGTGAGAATGAATGTGTGTGTGGTGACAGTATATGCATGTGAGAGTGTGTGTGAGTGTGTGTGAGTGTGTGTGAAGGAATGTATGTGAAGGAGGGAGTGTGTGTGTGCGCGTGTATGGCCCGTTCAGTCAGGTTGTCTGCAGAGGTTAACGAGGGTCTGCTTTCGTGACAGCAAGGAAATCCAGAGCCTAAGGGCGGAGCAGGATGAGCTCTCGCTGCTTCTGGGCCTCATGAAGTCCTCCAAGAACCTGCGGCTGAGCGAGAAGAACTACCTGGAACTGCGGTTCCTGCTGCAGGCCAAGGAGGAGTACGAGGGCTTGATTAAGTCCATGAGGGTGCTGTTAGCCGAGCTGGACGAGAAGGTGCGACTGCCTCAGAGAGGGAGAGTGGGGCTCTGGGCCTGCACCCTGGCACTTCCCTCGAGGGCCACCCAGCCCCTGGCAACCCCCGCACCCTGTGGGGTGGTTGGGAGAGGGGGCACAGCCTCTTCCCTGCCTCGCACCTCTCTTTCTCGTGGGCTGCCCAGAGGTCCTGGAGCTTCTCAGTGGTCAGCCTGGGAGTGGCCTTCTGTTGCTGGGCGACCCCGGGAGTCCTGAGGGAGAGAGCTGGAGATGCTGGTGGTGACTGGGGAATCCCCGCCCTCACCTGCCCTGCCACTCATCTCAGGCCTTCCTTGGCACCAGCTCCTCTTCCACCAAGCCCTTGCTGATTCCCTGGGACTCACTATGACTTTCTGGGGGGACGGGGAGACCCTCGAGGCCCTCACTACAGCGTCAAGTTTCTGCCCCAGTCAGCCTCCTGGCCAGGAACAAGGAGCCCATTCAGTTTCCTGAAGGGGCAGGCAGGCGCTGGGGAGTGAGAACCCTGGGCATTAGTCACAGGGGACCTGCAGTGTGGAACTGGGAGAGTGGGTGGCCAAGGCCACAGCTGCGGCCTGTCCTAACGCTCTGATCCTGGTACCGGAGGCCCACCAGGCGGCCCTCTGGGACAGCCTCCGGGGCAGCAAGCAGCATGGGGCGGGGATTCAGTAGAGCCCCTTGGGCCCCTTCTCAGCACTTGCCATGTAGCTTTCCTCTGGGAGGGCTGGCCCCTGGCACACACCGAATCTTCATAAGCCTCCATTGACTGAGGGAACCCAGAAATCTCATCCCCCAGTCCCACATGGCTCAGCTTCCCACATTCTGTCATCTCGTGTAAAAGCCCACCCCTGCTGCCTGACCCCCTTCCTGTGTTCCTTCCACACCGGCTGGCTGTGTGTTCCCTCAGCCTGGGCTGCCCTTCCCACCACCTCTGCTTGGAGGAAGTGGGGTCCCGTCCACTCCAGTCTCAGCTCAGTCACCGGGGGAGGGGTGCCCATCATCATCTTGTACTGGCTGCGCCCCCTGTGCTGGCCCTTCTTACCCTGGGTCTCCTTGGAGGTTTACCTTGCTCCTGGCTTTTTTCCCCGTTCTGGCACGGGAGCTTCCCAGGAGCCGGGACAACAGCCAGCAGTGTGACACTGGGGTGGTAGCAGTCCCGGGTGAGCGCCACGGTTCATCAGCGGGTCCCATACCTACATAGATGAGAGAGGGCACAGCAGAGGCGCAGAAGTACGGAGTTTTCGCCAATGTGATGTTCAGAGGTGCCGGAGCAAGTCATGCTGGGGAGTGGCGTCTCGGGCGGCTGGCGTTGTCTCGCACGTGCCAGCAGTTGTGGCATATCACAATTTCCCCCACTTGGCGACATAAGCGTCAGAAGCCATGTCCAGGGCTTGAGGGGTGTGTGTGTGTGTGTGTGTGTGTGTGTGTGTGTGTGTGTGTTTGGCGGCAGGTGGCGTCCACAGGTGGCAGCAGCAACTTTAAGCGGCCCCTGGTCCCTGGAGCTGACCGATGCAGTCCTCCTGACCGATGCAGTCAGGTGGGCGGCTCCTCTAAAAAAAAAAAGAGCAAGAGCCCCGCGGTTTCTGCGCGGTCCCTGAGGGACACAGCTGGACGCGCTCGCTCCTCCCTCCATTCCTCGCTGCAGATCGCACAGATGGAGAAGAAGATCGCCAACCAGAAGCAGGTCTTCCAGAAGATGCAGGAGGTGCACAACCCCCGGAAACTGCAGAAGCAGATTCAGATCCTGGAAACGCGTTTGAACCTCGTGCGTAAAAAGCCTTCTGGTTCTCCGTAGCCCTGCCCACCGCTCCGCCCTCCCTTGCTCAGGGCGTGCACCTGTTCCATTGGCTAACTCAGGGTTGGGCGGTGGGGAAAGTCAGGCAATGGCTGCACATCCCTGCTCCAACTCCTTGCTTCCATCCACCTTAGTCTTTGCAACCTCAACCCCAGCCACGCCGGGGATGCCGAGCTGCTGGCCTCAGAACCTCCTCCTGTCCTTTTCCAGAAGCAGCTTACTCGGCCCCTGCCCCAGGTGGAGTGGCTGGGATCTTCCCTCCTCGGTGTGGCAAGGCCTCTCCCGTACCGTGTGCCGCTGCCATGTGGTCCCTGGGATCTGTATATTGTTGGTCAGAAACAGGTGTAACTTGACAATTCTTCCTGTTCACCATGAAGTTCTCTCTCCCTGTAATCCTGCCTTTCACTTAGTAAAATCTTTGTAGAAACCCAGGAAGCTGGAATGGGAAGCAGAGGTAGAGGTTGGACCCAGGTACTGATGTAGGGTGCTGGCATCCCGACCAGTGTGCCAAACACGTGCCCTGGGATGTCCCTTTCTTATCTTCAAGATGTACTCATTGGGTGGGATGCCAGCGTTCTTGAGCTGCAGCTTAATTCACTGCGCCCTGAGATCTCTTGTCTAAAGGCTGAATAATGCCAGAGTGTGTGTGTGTCTGAGAGAGAGAGATCTTGTCCCCCAGTGCCCTGATATCAACCACACTAACTTGTTCCCACACCGTGGCCATGGTGAGTCTGCAACGGGCGCCTGCCTGGGATCACTGGTGTCTGCTGGAGCTGGTGGCTCTGCTTCCTTGGGGAGCCCGCTCTGCAAAAGGGCAGCTGGCTCAAAGGTTCATTCTGTTCTGGTTTGTTGGGAAACCTCCGTGTGGTTTTCCATAATGGCTGCCGCAATCTCTGTTCCCATCAACATCACCTTAAAAAACACTTTAAAAACCTAAATGCAAATTGATTCAGCATCTTCAGAAAGGCAGAGGGGATAGCACACCAAACTGTCACGTGTGCACTCCTCCGATCTAATTATTCTTCACATCTTACTGTGCTTGAAAATATTTACTTATGAATTTTAATTGAAAGAGTAGAATGAAGGGAAATGAGACAGAGATGGGGAGAGGTCTTTCATCTGCTGGTTCACTCCCCAAGAGTCAACATGACCAGAGTTGGGAGCCTGGAGTTTCTTTTGGATCTCCCATGCAGGTGCAAGGGACGAAGGACCCAGGTCATTAGCCAGGAGCTGGCTAAGAAGCAGAGCAGCTGGGACTCAAACCACTGCCCAGGCAGAGGATTAGCCTGCACGGTATCACACCGGCCCAACCCTGAGATATTTTAAAGCTGGATCGGATCCAAGTTCATATAACTGTCAGGGCCTTTATATTTCTTGGATCTAGCGGAATGGCTTTCATTCTACAAAGCATGAAGCAGCTCCAGGTCCCAGCAGTCCCTAGAGCGAAGTACCCGGAGTGCCCGGTCTGAGAAAGCCTGCTTCCATAGGCCGGCCACCCTCCACTTAATGAGCTTCACCTGGCGGAGTGTGAGTCCATGTTCTGTAGAGAGTTCTCCCTCTTGACTTGGCTGATGGTTTCTTCTGGTGTTTTCTGACGGGTCCCTCTCTGCCCTGACATGGCTCCTGCCTGGAAGTCAGGTCTAACAGTGATTGAAGGATCCAAAGGCCAGTAGCCAGGATTGACCCAGGGTCGCTGAGCCCGTTGATGGGCAGCCCACACTCTCAGTGGTCCCCTGGGTTGCAAGATGGGAGAGACATGGTGTTGGGGGAAGGCTTTCCAGTTTCCCCTCCTCCAGGAGCCAGCCAGATCTTGCAGTTCAGTCCTCCCTCCAGGTCACCGTTCACTTTGACAAGATGCTGACCACCAACGCCCAGCTCCGGAAGGAGATCGAAGCCCTGCGGTTCGAGAAGGCCGCGTATGACAACGCCTACCAGCAGCTGCACCGGCGCCTGCTGATCCAGAAGAAGACCATGAACATGGCCATCGAGCAGTCGGCTCAGGCCTATGAGCAGAGGTGGGCTGGCATCTGGCATGAGGCTGCCTGCTCTGAGCACCTCTGACCTGTTCCCGTTGTCCCCATGCCCGTCAGAGAGGAACAGGCTGAGGCTGAGGAGCTGTGTTGGGAGCCTGTGCCAAGCCTGATGCCAGGGGCCCTGGGCATCTTTCTTTACCCTTGTAGCTGCCCTAGGAGGTAGTATCCCCGTTGTGCAGACCAGAGCATGGGAGCGGCTAAAATACTTGCCTGAGCCCCATCTCCCAGCTCACACTTACCGTTGGATGTGAAGGTCACAGGTTTTAGACAGATGGAGGTTTGAACCCTGGCTCCATCACTATCACATTGCTGCAGGGATGTCAGGGTGTCAGGAGGCGTTCAGTAATACACGTGTGTAAAGGCACGCCGGGACAGAGTAACCGACAGGTGGTGATGGTGGTGGTGATGCTGGAGATGATAGCGATGGCAATGGCCATGGTCGGCATGATGAAGGTAAGATGTTGACAATAGTGAGGATGGCGTTTATGATGGGGATGAGGAGGAGGAGGATAGAACACCGACTCCCTGGGGGTGGTTTTGAGCTTGGCACTCCTGTTGTTCAGGGCCAAGTGACTCAAAGTCCACTTCCAGAAACTTTCATGATGAGAAGTCTCATGGTCATTGGCCAGGCAGGAAGTCCCTCTGAACCTGCAGGGTGAGGGAAGAAGCAGGGTGGAGCCTCAACACCCTCAGGCTCCGCCCATTCTCCCACCCTCCCCAGGCTGGAGGCCATGGCTCGCATGGCTGTCATGAAGGACCGGCAGCAGAAGGACATCTCTCAGTACAACCTGGAGATCCGAGAGCTCGAGCGCCTCTACGCCCACGAGACCAAGCTCAAGTCCTTCCTGCTCATCAAGCTGAATGACCGCTCTGAATTTGAAGAGCAGGCCAAAAAGGAAGAAGGTACTCCCTCCCCTCCTGCTGTCGCTCCTGCCCTCAAGCCCAAGCCAGGAGTTCCAGTCTGGCTGTCAATCAACCACGCAGGCTGCTCCCATCATACCACACAGGGACGGGTTTTGCTGTCGCTGGTCCCCAAGTCACAGAGCAGTGACTGTTCACTGCGCGTATGCTGTGGCACGCCCTGTCCATCATCAGAAGGGATTTAAAGTCCTGAGGGCATGTGCCTGGATTCTCTGCAGGCACCATGCCATTTGCTAAAAGGGACTGGAACTTTGGTGGGCTTTGGTCCCCGGGGGAGTCCTGGCTGCTGAGGGCTGACTGACTGGACCTTGTGTTAGGATCTGGGCCAAGTGCATGACTGGGGCAACAAAACACAAGGAGAGCAAGAGGGGCTGCAAAGGCAAGGGGTCCTGGGGTCTAAATGAGGCCAGTATGTGTGTATGCAGGAGAGTTGTGGGAGATGAGGCTGGGGCAGGCAGGGAAAGGTCATGCTGGGCAGCAGGTGGACTGCATGGGGAGGAGGCAGATTCCTCCGGACTCTGGCATTGATGAGGTGTCGAGGAGTAGAAGAATCTAGATCTAGAGGCAGAGGAGGAGTAGCCAACAACAACGGAGAGGCACAGTGAGTGAAGGGGGCCAGGTGGACCTGAACAATCCAGAAAGTTCATCCTGAAAGCTGCGTGCAGTCAGAGAGGTCAGACCTGGATGCGAGTCGGGGCTGTGACAGTCCCCAGATTGGAGAAAAGGAGGCAGAGGAGTCCTCAACTTGGCCTCTCTGTGAGCCTTCCTGGGGCTCCTGGTCCCCACATCTTCCTTTGCACTCCCTTGACCTTTGTCCTTTGTGAATGTCACTGCTCTGGCGAGGTCTTCCTGGCTACTAGTAAAGTACAAACCAGATCGCAAAGGGGACTTGCAAAGTCCCTGACCTGCAAAGGGGACTTGTGTTGATGGGGGGAAAAGGGGGCCTTTTCTACCTTCCTTTCCTGTTTTGGTCCTGACTCCTCCCTGCACTCCGTGGGCAGCAGAGCCAGTCCAGGGTCTGGCATGAGGCGAGGGCCTCATCCCGGAAGGAGCCAGCCCTCTCTCCCAGGAGCATGGGCAGCCTGCCTGGCACAGCCTTGGGTGGCTTTCTGCCCGTAGCCCCTGCTGCTGCTCTCCTTCAGCTCTCAAGGCCAAGAAGCATGTGAAGAAGAAGAAGAAAGGGGAGAGTTTCGAGAGCTACGAGGTGGCCTACCTCCGCCTGCTGAAGCTGGCCCAGGACGGGGACCTGAACCGGCTCACGGAGGAATTCCTGGCCAAGGAGGACAAGAACTTCGCTCGGTTCACGTATGTCACAGAGCTCAACAACGACATGGAGACGATGCATAAGAAGACCCAGAGGATCCAGGTGGGGCAGCTCCTGTTCCCCTGGGCCTGGCACGCACTGTTCCCAAGGCAGCCACCCCACCTCTGTTCCTGCTGCCGGTCCCACTCGCTGTCCCACTCGCTGTCCACCGCAGACATTTCCTCCTGTGCTTTGCTCTCTGCTCCAATGTCGTCATCTCTGTGAGCTCACTACCCTTTCTGTCGAGGCCCCTGCTCTCTCTGTTCCTCCTAAAAGTTGGGGATTGGGGAGGGACCCCCCTCCCCGGTCTGCTCACAGCCGCGTCTCTCCCGGGCAGGACGAGATCATCTCTCTGCGATCACAGCAGAAGTTTTCTCACAGTGACAGCAGCTCCATCCTGAGGGAGCTGGAGGTAAAGGCGGCTGTGGGGGGCAGGCCCGGGGAGCTTCTGCCATCTGCCTGGGCTAGCAGGGGACCCTAGGGGCAGTGGGTGTTTGTTGAGAAGGACCTGGTGAGGCATGTCCTTTGTCACAAGCAGCACCTGCCAGGTGGACCCCAGCTTTGTCCCCCAGGCCACCCCATCCTGTGAGGATGCTGAGCCCAGGTCTCGTAGGCCTGTGTCGTCTGACCCCACCTGCACCCCGTCTGGGCGATCTCTGTCTTGTCTTCCTGTTCTCGAGCCACAAGAGCAAGTAAGACATTTCCTGAGCTGGTACTGCTCACGGGGTGCTTTGTTTGGACCTCCTTGAATCACGTTTGGCTGCTGATAACATGGACCCAAAGCAATCCTGACCACGGGAGGGCAGAAGCTTCTATGTGGCTAGGCAGGAAGGCTGGAGCTAGGCACTTTGGGACCGCTATGGTCTATCTGTGTGTCTGTCTCTCTTTTTTAAACTATCCTCAATCCAAGGGTGCCTCAAGGTTGCATCTTAGCTGGAACAGGTCCTGCAATGCCATACACATCCCAGGCAGGAAGAAAGTGGGTGAGGCCAAAGTGGCTTTGCTGATCCGATCATCTAGATTCCAAGGTTTTGCTTAGGAGCCTCAGCCCACAACTTGTGCGTTTGCATGGCATCACTCTTGCGGGAGAAACTTGGTCTCAGGGCCACGTCAGTACAGTCAGGCGGGGAGAGCGTGGACAGTGATTGTGTGACAAGGACACCACCTTTGCAGACTGCTTTTCTAACCCTCCGAGTCCCTTTCCTGTGGTTTCTATCCTTGGCGTTCACCCGACCAGGCGGGAAGGGGCAGTTCTCCACGTGGCCACTGGATGGCAGCAAAGTCCACACTTGCAGCTCAGGGTGGCTGGCGTGTGGGCGAGGGGTCCGCAGGCAGGGGTGCTTGCCCCGTGGAGTCTCCCAAGGCTGGGCTTCCCTGAACTTGAGTCTGGCATTGGTTAGTGTCTTGGCGCTTCGCCACCTTTGCAGACGGCTTTTCTAACCCTCCGAGTCCCTTTCCTGTGGTTTCTATCCATGATCTTCACCCGACCAGGCGGGAAAGGGCAGTTCTCCAGGTGGCCACTGGATGGCAGCAAAGTCCACACTTTCTGGCGTTGGTTAGCGTCTTGGCGCTTGAAAAGCTATGGAAAGCCGACCTCTGTTCTGGGGGACAAAAAAGACTTGTTCCTTTGGCTTGTGTGTGACTTTTGGGGGCTTTTCCAAGAAGCATGTCTGATGTGGTCTGTTCTTTTTTTTTTTTTTTTTAAAGATTTATTTTATTTTTATTGGAAAGGCGGATATACAGAGAGGAGAGACAGAGAGGAAGATCTTCCGACCGATGATACATTCCCCAAGTGAGCACAACCGCCGATGCCTCTTCCAGGTCCTCTTCTGGGTCTCCCACGTGGGTGCAGGGTCCCAAAGCTTTGGGCCGTCCTCTACTGCTTTCCTGGGCCACAGGCAGGGAGCTGGATGGGAAGCAGGGCTGCCAGGATTAGAACCGGCACCCATATGGGATCCCGGGTGTGCAAGGCTAGGACCTTAACCACTGCGCCACCGCGCTGGGCCCTGATGTGGTCTGTTTTAACGGCAAAGACAGCGCAGACGCTCCCAACTTCAGCCCAGAGCTGTGCCACCTCCTGCCCCTGCCCCTCAAGAGAGGCAGATGAGACCACTCCTCCAGCGGCAGGGCGTGGCCCCGAAGTTTAGGGCAGGGCTGTCAGGAATGTCCCTTCCTGGCTGTGTGATTTGGAGGTGGTGTCTTGGTTAAGCCACTCAGAGGCTTAGAGGTTCTCTAAACCTCTGTCTGATGGAGAGGTCCTGCAGGTGCACACCTGGTAAACTTGCTCCCCAGGCCAGGGCAGAGCCTAAGGTCACTGTCAGAGTATCACAAAGTGGCTACTGCACTGCAAAGCGCCACCCAAGGGCAGGTCCCGTGCAAGCTCCTTTGAACGGAAACCCAGCTTTCCTCGTGCCCTCACCGGGCACGGGGCCAGCTGTGAGGCCGAGCTGAGGTGGTGCCCCTGGGGTGTTTCAGGTACAGGGTGGTGCTGTGGCCATCCTTAGGCTGACCTTTGACCTCATCTGTTAACCACATGACTTTTGAAATGGACGCAGCAGTAGCCGAGGAAGGCAGCTCTTGCTGACCTGCTGGGAGCCTGCAGCCCCTGGAAATGGAACATTCTGGAGCTCCGGGCAGGGGTGGCCACCTCCCAGCTGTGTCCCTCAGAGCCTTTGTCTTCTTCCCCTCTGGAAAATGGGGTCAGGGCTGACCCCCACTCCTGGGCCTTGTGACTTGGGCCGGCTATTCCCCTGTCCATGGGGAACGCTGGCTGGCCGTCCAGGGCATCCCCACCCACCAGGAGCTCTCAAGCCCCAGATCCAGCAGGTGGGAGCAGGGGTGCTGCTGAGGATGTACATGGCCAGTGCATTCCCAGGAGGGCAGCAGGGGCCGGGAACCATGCTGTGAGCAGCCCAGAGCTGCAGGGGCTGGGAACCATGCTGTGAGCAGCCCAGAGCCGCAGGGGCTGGGAACCATGCTGTGAGCAACCCAGAGCCACACACTTGTGCTTTTTGAAACACATATGAATATGACAGGCAGAGGAATAGAGAGAAACCATCTGCTGGTTCGCTCCCCAAATGGCCACAGCATGCAAGATCGGGCTAGGCCAAAGCCTGTGTCTCCTACATGGAGACTGGGGGACGTGAGTGCTTGGGCCATCACCCGCTGCCGTTCCAGGTGTGGTCCGTGGGAGCCGTGTGGGGAGCCAAGCAGCCTGGACCTGACTCAGTACTCATGTGAGATGCCACTGTTGCAAGCAGTGTCATAACCCACCAGACCACAACACCGCCCACAAAACTTACCTTTTAATTCCATTTTCCGCAGATGGGAGCGAGAGCATCTTTCACTCTACCGTATTTACCCATGAGCTCCATAACACACACTGGGGCATATCCTACTTTTCTGTTTTGGTGTGTTTAAACATGTGGGTGGAAGCCCAAAAAGCCAGCCTTGAAAGCCTGCAGTCGGGGGCCCCTCCTGCCCGTGACCAGTGCGGGCGCTGGGTCTGCCGCAGGAGCAGCTGAGCAGGACGGCAGCGGAAGCAGACCTGTACGAGAGCAAGCACAGGGAGATGAGCCGGATGCTGCAGCTGCTCAAGGGCACCGTCGAGAAGCTCTTCAAAAAGATCAACTGCGATGCCACCAAGATCCTGGTGCAGCTGGGTGAGAAGGGCAGCGTCACCGACAGCAACCTCTCGCAGTACTTCGGTGAGTACCCTGGGGTGCTGTCCGTGGAGGAGGTGGCAGCCTGGTCCAGAGGGACAGGTGCTCCAGGCAGCCCACCCACGTTCCCATCCTGGCTGAGTGACTCCAGGCAGGTGTCTGGGCCTCTCTGTGCCCCTGGGGCCTCACACAGGCCATTCACTCCTGGAGACCTTGTCCCGTGTGTCCGGGGACCACCCCTCCTCAGATCTTCCTTTAAAACCCTCTCCCCAGTCAGGCCTCCCTTCCCTGCACCACTTACCCCTCCCACATGCGGTTCCGTTACTTGATGTTTGGCCGTCACCTGGCCATCACCTGTGGACCTGTGGGGTTCAAGAACCCCTCCCTTGGAAGTTCTGTGTGTCAATGTGTTTGGCTCCCGGTTTTCCTGATTCGAAAGGAAATCACCCAAATTGAGACTGCATCACCTGCCTTTCCCTGCCTCCGCACCCTTCTCTGCAGTGGCTTCCTTGTTCTGCTCGTTTTTCTCCAGGAATGAACGAATGACTGGTGGGCTCCTGGTGCCGTGAGCCCAGTGGGAAGGGCTTGGCCTGGGCAGTTCAGGGAGACCTGGGCTTGGGGCAGGGGGAGAGGAGCTGCCTCTAGGTTTGCAAACCAGGGCAGAGCATGGGGCAGGGTGTCCAGGCGGAGAGAACAGCACGGCCAGTGGCTGCGGGCTCTGACACGCCCCAGGCCAGGGAGGCGGCAGCCTCAGGTGTATGCGTGACCTTGTTTTCATTCTTATCTGAGGTATCCCATCTGATGGTTCATCCAGTGTTCACCACGGTGCAGGCTGGACCAGGCCCGAGTCAGGGACTTGTAGCTCCATCCATGTGGGAGCAGGTGCAGGGCCAGGTGCTTCCAGGGTGTGTGTTGGCAGGAAGCTGGAGTTGGGAGAGGAAGCGGGATTTGAACCCAAGTACTCCCTGGCATCCTGACCGCCCTGCCTATGCCTACCCCTCTCAGGAATGATGTCCCTGTGTGTGGATGTGGGAATTCCAAGATAGCAGAACAGAAGCCGGCTTTCTGTGGGGAAGCCGCACAGAGGAAGCCTCCGAGCTTTGTGGATTTCTATTTTGTCCCTCATGAACTGCACCTGTTGCATCCCGGTGTGGCCAATCCTGGCCTGGGCTGTTCTGGGGGGTGGACACAGCTCCACAGCCTGCGCTCCCAACCCTCTCCAGCGGGGGATTGCCACTCGCCTCTTGTTCCTTAGCCATCATCGAGAAGAAAACCAACGACCTGCTGCTGCTGGAGGCCCAGCGCCGCCTCCTGGACCTGGCCGAGAGCGAGGGCCCCACGGCCTTCGTCAACCCCTTCTGGGGTGGCTCAGCCTTGCTCAGGATCCCTGAACCCACGAAGGTCATCCCGCCCGTGTTTGGGACCGACCCCTTCAGCGACAAGCTGGATGAGGGTGAGTCCCCGGATGTAACCGACCGGCATACATCCTGAAAACCCGGGGCCTGTGCATTTGGGGGAGGTGCGCTGCGGGGACCCCACTGCCGCCTCCCTCACCTCCAAATCACCGTGAACCCAGCTGGCCTTTGGCTACCACCTTGGTTGGGGTCACTTCTCCCTGTGAGCAGGGGTCCTTCAGCCAGAGACCCCAAGGCGTGGCCATCCTGAGCGGCCTGTGTGGTGCTGCACCTTAAAATGGAGGATTGAGCCGTTCAGAGTTCCTAGCTTCCGGCTGTTACCCTCACTCCACCTTCTCTCCCTTTCCTGAAAAAGATAAATTTGCTCGAAAATGTAGTCAGAGTAGAGTGACAGGGACATGGCCCAGGTGTGAGTAGGATGAGGTGGTGGTATCACTGAGGGTATGGCTGAGAGGCGGGTTTGGGGGTGCTACCAGGCACCTGGAGACCAAGAGCGGGGTGCCTGTGTATGCTGAGGCTGTTTTTTTTTTTTTTTTTAAACAATGGTCTTGCTGAGGCACCAAGTGTGTGTTCCAAAGCCGCCTCCGCCTGTCTGAGCAGCATTGCAGTGTAGCAGGGCTGGGGAGGGGCCCCAGCACACACATTCACACAGGCACACACAGACCCCACTCAGGCACGTGACACACATGTACGTCACACACACACACACACACACTCACACACACACACTCACACACACACACACTCACACACACACACAGCAGTGCTCAACCTGACCTAGCTGAGTGGAACCGAGTGCATGGCTGAGTCCATTGTGCCCTCTCAGTCCTTCTGGGAGGTGGCATGTGAGGACAGTGGCCTCGCTGGGACATGGGCAATTCCTTCAAGGCACCAGGTCAGCCCCAGCCGCCTCCAGCCACCTCCAGCCTCTCCCAGCCGCTCCCAGCTGCACCCAGCCCACCAGCCCATACCACCCACGTGTGATGTGTGATTGGCTGGTAGGGCCCATGCACTTCCTAATTAGGAAGCTGCTCCTCTGGGCAGCCATGGCTTGACAAGCAAGTGGGGGTTGCAACTTTGCCCCACCATTCACCTGTCACTTCTGATGGCCTCATAGCTGATAGCTTGACACAGGGGTCCTTTCTTTGCTACCTCCCCGAACACCTTTCATGTCTCAGGCTGGGAGAAAAATTTCCCGGGGAAGTTCTTGTCCACTCAGCCTCCCATCCTCCTTTCCCTAAACTCTGCCAAGTTTGATCATCCGCTGCCCAATGCCCAGGGCAGACACCAGGTAGGTCAGGAGCCCTGGGCCGGGTGTGACCACCCCACTGTTCACGTGCACCCTGTGTCCCCGCGGTCACCCACACCCCGTGTCCCGCGCAGTGGAGCAACCGCTGGACCACGGCAGTCTCCGGCAGCTGGTGCTGGACAACTACGTGCTGAAGGAGACCCGCAGCAAGGAGACGCGCCGGGAGAGCGTGCCGCCCGAGAAGGGCGATGAGCTCAAGGCTCGGAAGAAGACGGTGGCGTGAGGCCCGGCGCGGAGAATAGATGTTTGGTCCCCAATCTTGGCGCCTCTGCTCAGTTTTGCCCTGGGGGGGAGGCCCAGGAACCGGGTCGGGAGGGCGCAGGCCTTGGCTGGTGGAGGTGGGACCTGGCCCGCGCCTCCTGCAGCCGCATGGGGGAAGGGGGTCCCGGCGGTGGGGACTGTGGTTGGCCCTGAGCCTTAGAGCACCCCCCCTGGCTGGCCCCGCCGGCTTCCAGCAGTCTTGGTTTCTCTGGTGAGTCCTTGGTGACCCTGCCCTCCCCCTTCAGCGCTCTGTACCCCTGGAGTCTCTGGACATCTCCCATCTTTAAGGTTTTCCTCGGAAGGTCATGGCCGTGGTGTTCATCCAGGGCGACCAGCAGGCCCCCCGCGGTGACAGGCAGTGAATGCCCCAGACCCCGCGGGGGTGGGTGGGGGTTGGGGTGTCGTTGTGTGATGCTGATGGGGGGAGCAGTATCCCTGTCCCTCTTGGGGCTGCCCAGGGCAGAGAAGGTGCTGGAAAGGCTGCACAGCAGAGTGAGGGGACCCCGAGTCGGGATTCCAGCCCTGCGTGGACCCCAAACAATGCCAGCCGGGTCTGCAAGGACAGAGGTGGCCTGGCTGCTTTGTTAGCATGCAGGATCTATCGACTGCACTGTGGTTTCGTTTGTGCGGAGGCTTCCTCTTGGCTGGCCATCATGTCCACCTGTGGCCCCTGAGTGGCAGCAAAGGTCTATTGTAAATAAAGAGTCGCTGAGGCTAACGGCAACATAGCAGGCACTCGCTATGCCACGTCAGGTATGCCTGTGTCACAGATATCATGACCACACACGATTTCCGTTTATTCCAGCGTGGCGCTGGGACGTGTTCCCGTGATCAGGGCAAGGGCAGGTTGGTAGGCAAGGCCACGTGGCCCCTAGGCCAGAGGGCAGGCACGTAGGGCCAGGCCCGCCCCCAGCCTCCCACGCCGGCGAGGCCCCTAGTCCTTCTCCTCCCCGTGGGTGATGATGTGCACCAGGTTCTTGTAGTCCAGGTTGCCGGTCACGTCCGGGGGGAACGCCGTGAACATCTGGTCAATCTGCAGGGCACAGCTGGGGGTCAGCAGGGAGGGGGCTTCCCTGTCCTTCCCTGGGAGGAAGGGGTCCTTCCCCTTCCCTTGTAGTGCTCCCTCCACCCCGAGGGGAGGAGAGCTCCCAGCACCAGCAGCTCAGTGTGGGGCACTAAGGCAGACTGGGGGTCAGCAGGGAGTTGGTGGGCTCAGCCTCCTCTGCCTCTCTATTCCTGCCCATTCCGAGGCGCCGGACCCAGAGACTCCCAAATACATCCTGCGGAGGCTGGGGGAGGGGACGATGCTACTGCCATAGGGAAAGCCACAGCTCGGTGGGGGGGACCCGCGACCATGCCCAGGGGCCAGCAGCTTGGGTCCTTATGGGGTCCACAGAGAGTGGGGGTGTTTTCTAGACACAACCTCCTTTTTCACAGGCTCCTAATAGGCAGCATGGAGGTGGCCCAGAGCACCTGCTGGCTCACACTGTGAGGGTAACTGTGAACCCCACTTCATAGATGGGACATTGCTCACGCTGTGTTGAGGAAGTGTGTCCCAAGTCACACAGCTGGAAGATGGAGGGGAGGCTTTGGAGGTGAAACTGGTTGGTCAGGGGTGGGCAGGGCGGGGAGAGGCCTGCCTGGCTAGGAGGGGCGAGACGGTCCATTGATGACACTGGCAGTGTCCCTTTCCAGACACGTTATTGTCCGCTGCCATCTGGACTGGGTGTTGTGAGAACTGCCCTGGTCAGAGCTGAGCTGTGTACAACCTGCTCAACTGTACTGGGCAGCTCTCTCCCAACAAGGAGCTGCTGCTCTTCCCAGTCTCTCAGGGACTCTTGGGTTTGAGTCTAAGCTCTGGCATTTTCCATCCTTAAAAGAATGCTTAAAAGCAAGCAACCACTCCTTGGGCCTCAGTGGTCCCATCCCTACCTCTTCCAGGGGTTGAGAGCGGCCGGGGTTCAAGAAGGCTGGCTGGGTCTGTCTGTGGGCCTGGGGCAGCGGTGAGGAGGGCAGGGGAGCCCCTAGCAGGTGAGCCTGGGAGCTGGGGGTGCCCACAGGGGAGGGGCCCTTACCTCCTCCTTGGAGAAGCGCTCTGCCTGTGTAGTAAGCATCTCCCGGACACTGCACAGGGAGAAGGGCGGGTTCAGGTGTCAGGGGATGAAGAAAGACCCAGGGACCCCCCTCCATATCAGCCCCTTCCCCACCTCCTCACCCCCTCCCGCATCCACTCACTAGTCGGCTTTTAGCACCCCTTTGCCTTCAGGGTCGAAGACTTTGAAGGCGTTGAGGATGGTCTCCTCCGGGTCTGCTCCTGAAAAGGCAAGCAGGGAGCCTGTGTTGTGCAGGATCCTGGTCCAAGTGGCCCTGAAGGATGCCCGCCTCAGCCCCTGGAGATGCCCGCCTTGGCCCCGCGTGCCTGGGCAGGGAGGGTCCAGGTCAGATGACATCTGATTTAGACGCACAGGGCTCTGGGTCCTGATGTTGACTACACTCGTCATGTGGGCCTCAAACAAGAGGCTTCTGTCCTGAGCCTCAGCTCTCCCCTGCCCAGAAGGCGCCTCCCCCTCCCGCAGGAGGCACACGTGCTGGGCTCCAGGCGATGGGGTTGGCCGCTGTGGTGTTCTTCTCCCACGATCCTTTGCTGCCCAAAGGTGAACATGGAGCAGTGCACGAGCACCCCACATAAACACACAGGTATGTGCATATATGTACATACATGACACACGTGGTCACACACCCTTAAGTTTCTCCCCGAACATGGTCAGGAACACGGTGAAGTTGATCGGTCCCGGAGCCTCCTTGATCATTTCATCAATTTCTTCGTTTTTCACGTTCACGCGCCCTGGGGAAGGAGATGGAGGCTCAGGGACTGGGGCTGGAGGGCCACGGCCACGGGGGCGCTGGCCTTGGCGAGCCTGTATCGGGGCGACGGTCCAGGGATAGTCAGGAATTGGGCAGAGGGGGCCAGAGAGGCTGTTCAAGGTATTTATAGCAGCCAGACAGGGCTCCCGCAGCTCCGGACGGGAGGGCTGGGCTATTTTTAAAGCCGCACCTTACCAACTTGAAACCTCATTGTTCCCCTGGTGAGAGTGCTGCTTCTCCCCTGCGGGTGGGAGAGCAAGATCAGAGATGGGCGTTACCAGGGAACTACCTCAGCCTGTCCCTGCCCCAGCCTGAGCCATTTGTACCTCTGAGCCAGTTTAAAATGTCACCCCCTGCTTAGGATGACTGACGTTTCAAATGCGTAAGGCTGCAGTCCGTACGCGTGGTGGGATGTTCCCTGGAGAACTGTGCAATGCACAAGCCACACGGCTGTGTGTGGTTGCCCCTTGAGTTGTAAGGATGGGAACAGGCCATGGCAGAGAAAGTGTGGGTGTGGAAGTGCTGAGTGTGGTACGTACACGCCCCGTGCACGTGTGCTTCCAGATGTTCAACTGAGCAGAATTCAAAATGGAATGAGCCCAATTAAAAAAAATAATAAACAGGCCTAGCAGGACCCAGAGAGGCTGCACCCTTAGCAGGGGCGGGCGGCGTCCCGGCCGTTGTTTCAGCCTCTACTTCGCAGCTTTTCTGTGGCGAGCTGGCACCGTGCTCCATGGTCCCAGAAAGATATGTCATAGAAAAGTAGGCTGTGGGCATCCTGACAGGCTCAGCTCCTCCTCTGGGGATTGCCCTGGGGGCAGTGGTGGGGCGGGGTGGGGGTGGGGACCAGCGCATACCCAGGGCTGCAAAAGTGTCTCTCAGGTCGTTCTTGTCGATGAAGCCGTCCCTGTTCTGGTCCATGATGGTAAAGGCCTGGGGGAGGGAGGCAGTGCCATTCAGCTGCAGGTCATGGGGGGTAGTTTCAAGGGTGAGGGTGGTGCGGGCATGGAGTTTCTGGAACCTTCTAGAGCTGAGCAGCACTATGTCTCCAAATGCACAGCTGTGCCGGGGCAAGCCTGGAGGGACCTGAACGCTCCGTGGCCTCAGCAGGCCCACAACCAGGAGCTAGCCCCACGGGAGTGGGGAGAGCAGGGCGCTGGCAGAGAGGCGGGCAGTGCTTGTCAGGGGCCGGGCGGGGTGGGCATGGCCGCTGCTGGGGCAGAAAGCCTGGCCTTTATGGTCTGACTGTACAGAGGCGAGTCTTACAGCTGGTAAATTGTATTTTAGCAAAGCCACAGTTTCCCGATTAAAAAACGGGAATCTCATCCCCTCTGCCATTGGCTGTGATGGGGGACGGGGGATGGAGGGGCAAGGATTTTCCCCATCAGCTCCAAGCGACGCCCAGGAGTTCCAGGGGAGGAGTTTGGAGGTCCTGCCCACATGCCTGCCGCTCACCATCACATCGTCCACCCCCTTCTCCCTGGAGGACGACTGTCCTAAGGTCAGGTACAGTGGGAAACTGTCCCAGCAATTCCTCCTTTCCTGGGGGCCGAGGGGTGTGACCCTCCTGTACCCAGGGGACACAGAAGACGCCATGGCAGCTGTCCAGCTGGGAAGCCACTCGTGGGGATCTGTTAGATTCCCGATCGTTTCCCCTCTGTCCCACCTCAGCCCCGTGCTGGGGGGAAGGCCACCAGGAACAAAGGGACACTGGGGTTAGAACAGTAAGTGCCCCCTGCTCAAACCAGCCAAGATGCCTTGGTTGTTGCTGCCCAAGCGTAAACTCGGACCAGCCCTCCTCCTGTCCTCTCTGTTTCTCCCTCTCTCCCTGAGCCCCTTCAACCTAGCCATCCTGCTTTGGGGATTTACCCCAAGGAAGTGACCAGAGATGCAAGCACAGATGGGTCTCTCTAGCTGGTATGTGGACCCTGCACCCACAAAGCATAGTGAGAAGCACTGGAGAGCAGATGGGGACACGAGGCCCCGGGGCTGCAGAGCAAGCTCCGTGGTGATGTGGAGGGTACTGCCGCTGGCGACACTGTGATGCCACCTCCAATATGTCCAGCAGCGAGTGTATTTTGCTTTGTTAGTAGAAGGTGTTGAAAATGGTGTCACCAGCAGGTCCCCACCCAGCCTGGGTCCCTCCCGCCAGCACCCACCTCCTTAAACTCTTGGATCTGCGTCTGTTCAAACATGGAGAACACGTTGGAGTTGGCTCCTTCTGCCCTCTTCTTGGCTTTCTTGGGTGGCTGTGGGAGGATGGGTGAAAAGGTTGAGAAGTGGGGAATCAGAAAACCAGGGCTGTGGGGCTGGGCTTAGCTGCTTGGCTCTGAATTGGGTACGCAGCGGCCACACTAGCTATGCAGGGCGGTGCCACAGTAGCCGTGGGAGCACCCGGATCTCTGCAGGGCTGAGAAGATCGTGGCTTGGGCCCTGGCTGGGGTCTCTGGCTGGGATGAGGACCCCAGGATCCAGCTGCTTCCCTTCTAGTGCCTTTCCCAGCAACGCTTGGGCACACATGGAAGGAGTGGATGGAGGGAGAGATGTGCGGCTCACAGCCAGAGCAGTGGCAAGGCGGCATGACGCCTTCCCGGGTGTAAAAACACAACCCACGCTGGCCCTCGATTCAAATGGCAGTGAAACCTTCTCCCTAAATGTTGTCCCCGTACCAAGTCAGCCCACTTCTCCCCGACTCAAAATAACAGTGACGCTTAAACCCCGGGTGCCTGTGACCTTGCTGGCCGTGTAGAATTGTGACTCCCTTTGCACAGGGAAGGTAGCCGAGGCCCAGAGAGGCCAGGTGACTGGTCCCAGGTCACACAGCCACGAGGACTGGCCCAGGCTGGGAGGTGGGCAGTCTGCTTGAGGAGTCTGTGGCCCACTCGCTGACCGACTGACCACAGTGAGCCCAAGCATGCCCCCTCCCACAACAGCAGCACTAGCTGGCAAGGTGACACCCAAGGAGTGTGCCTAGCAGACAGGGCTGTGGCATGAAACAGCAATAGGAACCATGGCAACACTCTGCTCTGGGCTCTTGTGTCTGCCCGGGGGCTATCGCTGCCCTGGGAGGATAGCAGAGGCGGTATCCATCATGGAACCCACAGGGGTATCCCTCCCTGTGCTCACGGCCAAGGGCTGGGTCCCTGCCTTTCTGCACCTCCCCTTGGGTCCCTGGCTCCAAGATGGGTCTCCTTCCCATCCACCCAGCTTTGTCCACGGGACCCCATGCTGCTTACCATGATGGAGGGGACTGGGCACTGCCTCCCGGGAGTATGCCACTCTTTGCCCTGCTCCCCTCGGCCACTGCGAACAATAAATACTTCCTCCCTGCGTTTAAAAATAACCCCATGACCACTTTTGGCCGTACTAGGTGAGGCGGACGCCACCTATGGCCCTCCCTGCCCGTCCCCCACTCCGCCCCATGCCGTTCTTCTGAAGTAAGGGCAACTTGCCTGCCACCCGGCGACACGTGAGCCCTGAAAAGGCATTCAAGGTTAAAGAGGTGGCGGTGGGGCTGTGGTCTCTCAGAGATGCTGCCTGCTTCCTGCACCGCGGGGGCCGGACACACTTGTGCTTGTCAGTTTGGGAAGGAAGGAGGCAGGCAGAGGGGACAGCTGCAGTTCTTGACCCGCGACAGGCGCCAGTCCCATCCTGTGGCCGTGGTGTCTGCAGGGCACCCTTCATGCCCATAAGGTTGTTCTGGGTGTCACCTGGACAAGGTTGCCGATCGCCTGCTGCCTTTTGCCCCGGGGGCTGCAGGCCAGGAGTCAGGGAAGGGGTTCTCTCCTCTGTGAGCCCAGCACCGGCTGCTGAACTCCATCTTTGCGGGGCTGGGGGAGTGTGTTCACCATCTCCACTGCCAAGCTCTGCAGTATGCCAGGTGCCAGGCTGCGGCGGGGCCCCTCGTGGAGCTGGTGTGAGGGGGAAAGACAGGCACCCCCTGTCCATGGTCCGGATTCCCCTCAGTGTGATCCATAAGGGTGTGCCCATGTGGAAGCTCTGTTGGCTAGGGTCGAGGGACCCTGGGGCGAGAGTTCTGGACAGTAGGGGCAGCAAAAGTGCCAAAACACAGCGACTTTGAGACTTGGGGAGCAGGGGGCCGCATGGGGCCGCATGGGGCCGCATGGGGCCGCATGGGGCCGCATGGGGCAGGTGTCCTCTGAGGATTTCTCAAGCCTGGGCAGATATTCTCAGGTGCAGAGACGTCAGATTTAAGTGGACAGATCCAAGGAGTTTGTGGCTGACCCTGGAGGCTGAGTGGGTATGGAGAGGTGCACAGCGGCTCCCCACTCCCCCAGGGCTACTCTAGGGTGAGGAGGGAAGGGAATTGTGTTGGGGAGTTCTGGGGCTTTGATTGGGGTATGCAGCCCCCTGGCTGCTGGCACTTGGGGCCCCAGGCTGTGGGTGAGTTCTGGGGCTTCACTGGAAGACCCAAGTGGTTTAGGAAGCCCCCTGCTTTCCCCCACTCCTGCCAAGGTCAAGGCCAAGGTCCTAGATGTGCCATGTCCTGGGAAAGCAGGTGGTATTCAGTGCAAACCTCAGGAGTGGTTATTGTTCTCAGGAGAGCAAGGTGTGGGTGGGGAGTACTGAGGGGAGAATCTTCTTTCCCCGGCTGCCTGGAAGGGGGACGGCTCTGCAGCTTGCCCCTGAACCCCTCGCTCGACCCCGTTGCTGGCAGGGCAGTCCTGCAGGTAATTTTGAAGCAGGCAGACCTGAGCTCAAGAGACACAGAGCCCTTTTCTTTTCTCTCCACCATCTCCCTCCAGGCTCTGAGATACCAGCGAAGCCACTGGCGAAAAAAATCAGCAAGCAGAGTGCGTTGTTTTTCTGGTGCTGTGGTTCCGTCATCATCCCCCAGCCCCTGGCTACAGCCCCAGCTGATGTGGACCCCGGGGGGCAGCAGGTGGGAGACCCAGATGGACCTCTCAGCTCCCGACCTTGGTCTCCTGCAGCCCCCTTTATGGTGGACATGTGAGGGACCCAGGAATTAGACCTGTAGCTCTCTCTACCTCTCTAGGAAAGAAGAGCCAGGAGCTGTGGCCTGGAGGCCAGAAATAGAAAGTGGGCAGCAGGGCTGTGCCCGTTCACCCCCACACCCCGGAGGCAAGGGATCAGACTGGTCCTGGCCTGCTCTGTGTTGCTTAGCCTGGGTCCCTCACAATCCAACCTCAACCTGGTTCCCTGCCACTTCCTTGGAGGACCCCAGAGTGATGCTGAGTCCTGCTTCGTGGTCCAGGGGAGCCTCTCCCCACCCCTTGTGGCTGGACCAGGCCAAAGCCTGGAGCCAGGAACTCAGTCTGCGTTTCCCCTGTGGGTGCCAGGGTCCCAGCCACTCGAGGCACTACCTGCTGCCTCTTGGGGTGTGCTGTAGCAGGCAGCTGGAATCCCACATAGAACACCCTGTGAGATGCATCTGTCCCAGGCAGCGTCCTGAGCACCAGCCCAAACACCCACCCCTGAACTTGCCCTTTCATTCCATTTCCTATGAACTTCCTGCAGCTTCCTCACACTGGCTAGCAACCCTGGAGAGGGGCTAGCTGTCTGCTAGGGCAGGAGCTGTCCTTGCCTCTGCTGCCGCAGCTGGCCTGCCTGTGCTGCTGAGAGCTTGGTCCTGGGACCCAGGGTTTAGAGCTGCCTGTCTTCAGGCAGGGTTTCTCTGTGAGTCTCAGGTCTGCAAGAGGGGACAGTGACAAAAGTCACTTCCTAGGGTTGCCAGGAGGGCACAACACCACGTGCGCTGGAGGACTTGAGCCCCAGGACTGACCTGGGTGCATTCAGCCGTGAGATCGGGGACTCACAGTTGGGGTCGCTGCTCTTCCTCGTGCCAGCCGGGAACCTGGCCTGGCACATCTAGGGTTCAATGTGCGTCTGAACTTGGCCTGGTTGCCTTTGCCCGTGGGTGCCGAAGGGAGGCAGGGACAGAGCCTGGGTGCCTGACCCTGGACTGAGAGGTCTTAGCTTATGACCAACATTGGTCCTGTAAGTTTGGAACCTGCATGGATGCTGTTGGCATCCTGGGGTGCTAGGGGCTGCTGATCACAGGGGACGTTGGGGCCTGGGAGGTCTTGTTAAGCAGACAAAGCAGGCAGGGTTGCGGGGAGGGCAGCATGGGAGAGGACTAAGAAGTAAGAGTGACTGCTGAGGCCTGGGGTGGCTCCAGATTGTGGCCACTGATGCCACAGGTGGCGGGATGTGTGGGGAGACGGTGTGTGCTCCATGGCCTGGGAGATGGGGAGATACCTGAGCTGTGTGCCGGGGGCGGGGGTAAGGGGTGCTTTAAGTTACTGTGTTTTGGACTGGTTACAGTGAGAATCTGTATGTTTGTGCAGTGGTGATTTTAATTTTGTGAATTTGTTTTTAAGTTTACTTATCTTAGGGGAGACAGAGACGAGAGAGTGGTTCCTATCTGCTTTACTTTTCAAATGCCTGAAACAGCCAGAACTGGCCCAGGTAGAAGCCAGGAGCCAAGAACTCAGGGTCTCCCATGGGGGGAGGGACCCAAGCACTTGAGCCATCTCCACGGCTTTCCCAGGCCGTTAACCAGGGGGCTGGAAAGAAAATGGAGCAGCTGGGACTTGAACAAGCACCCATATGGGACACTGGTACTGCAGGCAGCAACTTCAGTTGCTAAGCCACCACACCACCCCCTTTCTTGTTTTCATTTTATTTGAGAGGAAGAGAGAGAGGGAGAGCGAGTGAGTGAGCAAGTGAGCGGGATACTGTTTTCTTTTTCTGTGCCAAGATCAAGTGTAGGAGGCCCCCTTGCCCTTGGCCTCTCAGAACACCCTCCCCCCAACATGCACACAAGTGGTTCCTACATGAATGGTGTCCCACTACATGCAGAAGATTCTTTTTCGTGTTAATGCTATAGCACACAGAGGTGAGCACACATGTCCATACAATGTGTGTGGGTTGTTCCATCCAGGCTCCAGCTTGGTGGGGAACTAGGTCAAGTGGCCTGCACACTTGACATGCGCTCAGGCCAGCCAAAGTGCTGTGGGCAGAAGCCATGATCATATCACAATAAGTAATGGTCACTGTGAGCCCACCGGGTCCCTGGGGAACGGAGAGGCTGGGTTTGGAGGGACCCGTGTCCCCATGGAGGGGAGGATGCCATGGGCTGGACTGTTACTCTTTGTTTTTGTCTTTTATTCCTGGGGTTCTTGCAGAGGCTAGTCCAGCCCCGGGGACAGAGGGATTCCGGGCCTGGAATTCCTGTCCTAGCCGTGGCACTCCCCTCCGTGAGGAAGGAGAGCAAGGCCAAGGCCTTGGCGAGCGTCCACACATTTGGCTGAAGAGCTTGTTCAGGTGCAGGGCAGAGCCGCCTATCAGGCCTGCCAGCCCAGAGGTGCTGGCTGACGGGCTGTGTCACCAGGCGATACCCTATCTCCTTATGTCAGGGCCCCCGGGCGTCATGGAGATCCACTGCATGGGGAGGTGGCAGGCCTGGTACCCCATGGAGGGGGCACCCGCTGGGTACAGCGCAGTTCTGTCTGCCTCACTTTCCCGTGTGGCTGTGAGGCTTGCCGGAGCTGATGGGTGTGTGCAAAGTTCCAGAATCCCGCCAGGCCTGCTCTGACAGTGGACATCTGGGTGCACCGTTTGCCCCAGACTTGCTGGGTCCAGTGTGTGGTCTGGGGCTCCCTTCCCTTGCATTCTCTTCCTGTCGCTTTCCCCTTTTGTCCCAAACCCTTCATGCTGCCGCACTCTTGGGTTCCTGTGGCGAGTCTCTCACAGGTGTCCCCACTGCCTTGGGAGTGTGTGTCTTTGTGTACGGGTGTGTGGTGTGTGCTATGAGTCCATACATCTGTGTGTCTGGTGACTGTCGGTGTAGGTGTGTATGTGTGGTAGGCGAGTGTATCTGTGTGTCTTTGAGTATGGTATGTGAGTTCTTGTGCACGTGCATACGTGAGGGGTGTGTGTGAGTCTGTGTGGGTGCGTGGTGAGTGCAGGCAAGCCCCCGCCCTGCCCCCAGCCCCACCTGTCGGCCATAGGCCGCACTCCAAGGGGCAGCGCTAAGAGCTGGCCAAGTCCTGCTGCTCTGCTTTGGGTCCCAGAGAGGAAGTTAAAACTCACACTTGATCCTGAGGGCAGTGAGCCATGGGAGGCAGACCCGCCCTCCGGGGCTACCACCCACGAAGCTCTTCACCTAGCTCCCCCAAACCTGGAGCTGCCCTGGAGCTGACTCATGTGTCAGACCCTGGCTCCACACTCACTCTGTCCTCATGGAGGGGCACTCCTAACTGGGCCCATTTTCCACAGGAGGAAGCTGAGGCCTCTGGGCAGCTGGGACTGCCTTTCTGTGTGGCAGA